TTTAAACTTAACAACTTTTATAATACACGCTATAAATCACAGCGATTCACAATCTCGATAATTTAGGGCTCACTAGCTCGAAACTAACAGAATCATAAATTACACGGAACTCAAAGAAACTACTGCTCTCTCTTCATTTATCTTCTTGCTGGCTTTCCTCTGCCAGGCTTATATACTAATGAAGAAGGCATCTCGAACACACTCGGACTTCCCTGATTATTCGAGAAACTCATCACGCACGCCACCAGCGCCAACGCGCCAGCAGCGTCACGTGACTTCCGCTGTTGTAACAATAATATGTTGGGACAACATGAGGCCTATTGGACCATCCCGGCTGTTCCATCCTCAAACTAAATTAAAATGATTAAAAATATATAATGAAAAATTTTAAACCCAGCCATTTTCATTCATATACTTATCAAGATTTTCCTTATACTCACTTAAATTTACTGTCTCTACAACACCTGAAGGCAACCCATTCCAAAGGCCAACCACCGTGTTAAAAAATTAAACTGTCTTAGCTGAAGATGACTCCTACCTTGCCAAAATTTATATTTATGGCCCCTAGTCCTACTATTCTCATTGTTAAATATAAAAAGATGATACATTAACACTATCAATTCCCTTTACAATCTTAAACACCTCAATTAGATCTCCCCTAACTCTTTTGTTATCAAGAGAAAACAATTTGAGAGATTTCAGCCTCTCATCGTATGACAATCCCTTCATCCCAGTCACCATTCTAGTAACCCTTTTATGAACCCTTTCCAACAATTAAATGTCCTTCCTAAGGTAAGGATCCCAAGACTAAACACAATATTACAAATGTGGCCTAACCAGTGACCTGTACAATGAAAGTATAACCTCCTTTGACTTGTATTCAATATTTCTATAGATACAACATAAAATCTTATTTGCCTTACCACTAGCAACAGTACACTGCTTGGATGGCTTTAGAGGCTATTCGACTATTACACCAAGATCCCTTTCCTTCATAACACTATTAAAGTTATTTCCATCCAAATTATAACCCACATGCATTATCTTACATTTATTATAATTAAAACCCCTCTGCCATTTATTTGCCCATCTCACTAAATAATTTAAATCCTTTTCTAAATCAGCAGTATCCTCTTCACAGCTAGCAACACCCAAGACCTTAATATCATTTACAAATTTAAATAATTTATTGACTATCTTTTCATCTATGTCATTGTTGTAAATCAAAAAGAGCAAAGGTCCTAAGACCTAGCCCTGAGTTACCCCACTTGTGACATTAATCCAGTTTGACTGAACTCATTTGTAATAACCCTCTGCTTTCTTCCATCCAGCCACACTTCTATCCAATTTGCTAACTTATCCCCCACACCTATAGAACTAATTTTTTACAAGCCTTTTATGTGGCACCTTGTCCAATGCTTACTGAAAATCCAGATACACTAAATATACACCTTTACCCTCATTTGTAAGGCAAGATTTTCCCTTAGTAAAATCATGTTGGCTATCGAATAAAATTCT